ATGTGACGATGTAAGCAATGTTGCAATCAAATTCTTTACTCTTGATTTATTCAGCTGCATCTTGTTGATCCTATACTAAAATTTAAATACACATTACACAGAAAAATTCATAATTGATCAGATTGTTGCTTGATGCTTAAAGACATACAAGGTTAAGAAAATCTAGCCTTCACTTCTACTGTATCATTTAGATGGCACCTGAGTCCGACAGAACTCGTCTGCACCGTTTGGCTGAAAAAGATGATGACGTCATAAAAATGTTGCACGAGTTGATTGAAACTGTTAAGCAGGCGGCCGCTAATTTCAAAACTTGTGCTGTAAGAATACGCTTAGCCCCACCAAATTGTGTTCTCAACACTTCAACTAACTATTTCAGATGCTCGCTGGTTCTTCGATGAAACGTGCAGAACATCATGAACGTGATTTAGATCACATTATACTGGAGTTGGAAAGCATTTCCCTGAACAATTAAACGACGCTGTATAAATTAACAAAAGCGATTTTGTATGTCGTGAAATAAAAAATTTTTGGAACAGAGCACTTATCCATGCCATTTCTGTGAATTCCCTCATGCATAGCAGATGTTCTTATTGAAAAAACATTGTCGTAATTTGAGAATCAACCTAATCAAAATAGATACTTCTACCAAGGTAGTACTAAAAGGGAATGATTCTACAATTGCTCATCGCAACGCCTTTTAGCACAAAAATAAGTTGTTGGAGCATGATTTGCATATAAATATTCGTTATATATGTGTATTTGCGTCTGAAGGGGTCATAGATGAGATGAAGCTTAAAGCTGACACAGTAAGTGCGTAGAAAGAGGCTACTTTGATGAATACAATGAACCTAAGACCCAAAATTTCTCTCGATTATCCATCGTTAGCTACTACGGACTCACCCTGAGGATACCCTAAGATAGTAACGAAAATCATTTTTTTTTGATGTGATGAAGCTTATACAGCTGAAGCACCTGTTTGGTACCGCTCATGTTCCGCATTCTATAGGTGGCATCAAAAAGTTAACTTCTATATTTCTACACAAAGTAACTGGACTAGAGGGTGAATTTGTAGCGGAAGTTGATAAGCACATAATGGTAATTTACCCTAAATTATGCCTATGAGAATTTCTTGATCGTTCACTGAGAAATTAAGCGAGTAATGCTTTGCATTTAACGCCTAAAATTTACCTGATCAGGTGGATACGAGGTATAATTAGTTAGATCTAGCGTATGTAATCATTTATAATTTGAACAAACCATCTCACAATATCTTTTACCAAAGTGAAATTATGAGAATTTGAATTGAAAATGGGCATTCTTTTTAATTTACTGCTTACATAGAAGTTACAAACCTCTCTAAATGGAGAGTTGGTTGAAGCGGATCGCGAAAGATAACTGAGAGGAGTATCTGCGTGTTTTGAAAATGAGTTAAACAAGTCGGAGTCAATCGAAAAAAACGAAAAACGACAAGTACTTGTCACAATCTTGGTCAACTCTATCTCTCTTCGTCCTAACATTGGAAACCCTCAATTTGAAATTGTTAAAAAACCAATAGAAATTTGTAACTAACGGTAATTCTTGGGCTATAATTAAATTGTTATTTAAGTCTGTGTTCACGCCATGTAATGTTGAAAATTTCATGAAATAACGGAAAAACGAAATCAATTAAGGATGTGAAAGTGTTTCCTTCAAACGAGTTATGTGCTAATAATATGTGGATGATTCATTACACGGAGATGCGAATATTGTTGGAATTTTTTGATAAAGCATAATATTTGCTAGCCTTTACAACTAGGGTGTGTTGAGCTCAGCTGAAACTCGAAGTTAAAGGTCATCACGTTGTCCTAAAGGATCTAACTGTAAGTCATGCCAGTCATGGAGATAGATTTTCATTGCAAGTCCTTGTAATCACAGCGGATTCCATGGAATGAAAATTCTATGACTTGTAACTTTGTCTGATAAATGATTTTAGGATTTGCGAACGATATTCGCGTCAGTACCCACCATGTTGGCTATATCATGAGCGTATACCCCAGAAATATTTTAAGGAAATATGCATTGCCATATATGTGTTTTTAATGCTAACAATACTAT